GATTATATTTAAAGGACACGTTTACTCAGAGTATCTAATGAAAAAGCACTATACAAAGCTGCTAAGAGATACAGAGTAGTTCCTGTCAGCATCACTCCAGTAGATGAACCCTTATCTTTTGAGGAAGGCAACAGCCGAAGTGTTTGATTTTAAGCCATCCTAGAGTTTGAAATACTTTTCAAAAATAAATTGGTCCTGCAAGTAGGTGGCTAGGGGAAGGGAAAATGATGTATTATTATACCTTTTCCCAGAAGAATAACAGGCAAGACTATTAACCCCTCCTGAAAGCTCAAATGAGCACGACAAATGCTTTTTGCAAGTAATTTACAAAATGGCCACTTCACATCTCTGACAAAGTACGTACACAAATACACATACACCCCTGCCACAGACATTAAGTAATGCTACTAAAGGTACATCAGATACAGAAAATGACAAAAATCTAACTAAAAATCAAGTTCAGAATAGCCTATTTTAGGGTTAGAAAACCACACTGCTGTAGTCTCTTGCCCAAAGCCTACCACTGCACAATACCATTTGAACAGTTTGAGTTTAAAGGAGTATTAGTAGTACAGCACAAAGAACTCGTTATCAATCATCTGAAGCCTGACAACTCAAGTGCACGTAAAGATACACTCCTCAAGGTGGCACTAAAATTTGCTGTAGAAAGACAGACACATTTTAACACCGTCAGTCTTAGCAGATGCTTGTCATATTCCTACACCTGTTCAACCATAATGCTACAACAAAGCAAAACAAAAATCAAACACGATGCATAACCAGAATTACTGTCATAAAACTGTTCCTTAAGAAGCTTCCAGCAATAGGCTACAACCTATTAATGTACAAACAAGATTTGCTTGAACCTACAATATAATAGTTATATACTGGACCCCAACAACTACCTGGTTATGCTGTCCACTACCAACAGTTCACTCCCAACGCTGATTTTAACACAGCTGACCTGTCACTCTGCAAGAAAGAGAGCAATGAACCCCACCAATACAAGTCCTCAGAGGAAGAAAAAAACACCTGCACAGTACGGTTTAAACTAAACAGAGGGTATTTGGAAAAAAAAAAACCAACCCAAAAAACAGGACTGGAACCACACTACCATTACTAGAAGACAGAAACATTCATAACCAGCTCTCTACGGTTATAAATATTGTTATATAGAAACACATTGCAGGTACTATTAATTCACTGTACTACTACTAAACCAACGTTACAATAAAAAAGTGCTAAAAACACCCCTAACAAAACCCACACCCTTTTGTTGACAACTTGTTTCCTATTAAGCTTAGAAATACATATATATAATTCTATATAGCACATGCACCAACCTCGCAGTGATATTCAAATATTGCACTTTCAGTAGTATTAGCCGATTCTTCTGTTTCAGCACAAGTTTCTAAGGATGAAGACTGCTATTCTTAAAAAAAAAAGAGAGAGAGAGAGAGAGAGAGAAAGAAAAAAGATAGCAAGAGAAGGTGATCTATCAAGCTAATAGAGAATGCAAGTGCTGCTGCCCTGGGCAGTTTCAACGCAGCACTGGAGAAAACAGAGACTACTAGCAGCGTTGGGACGTGCTCTTTTGAAGCTGTTGAGTAGGCACAAACTTCTTGTTTCAGATCAAGCCTTGTATCTTCAGTGTAAGTTTCCTCTTCTTTGGTCTTGAGTTGTTGTTACGATGTGGTATATTCTTTTCCTGATCTGAACTTGAAGCAGCAGTTTCAGGTGGTAAATTCTGTTCTGTTCCACTTCATACTGGAGAAAGGAAAAAGATACACACTAAGTATCACTTTAAAAGAAATTCCAGATCAGTCCTAAGTGTTTCTACAAAAAGGTGCATTTCCTCTACCTTAATACTGTAGGTTTGAACCATGCTAGGAAAGATTTTTACAGATATATTTGGCATTACCATTTTCAGTTTTATTTTCAAAAAAACTCTACCTCCCAGCCAGTGATAGGGAATTTCCAAACTTAAAACTCTTCAGATGCAGTTAGGCATTTCAGGAAAGGTCCCAATTTGTACAATTAAAACAGCAACTTCGTTTTGATGAATAGCATCACCATTTAATGCAAGTCTCAGTGCTCCTATCAATAACTTTGCATTGGTGCCATCTTATAATTTAATTAATAAGACCTTCAGAGTAGTAACAGACCTTCAGAGTAGCAATAGGGTGTGCGTGTTCTTCCAAAAAGTAAATCAAGGACTTGCAATACCTGAAACACCTTTAGCTTGGTATAAAAATAAACAAACTTCTCAATTACACATACAGATGCTGTATGCCTGCTCTACACAGACCACATGCATCCTGGCATAGCATGTAAAATTAACTGCAGAGCCATTCTCTGGACTTATTGTTTGCAAAACACTGATTACATATAAATAATATTTGTGTAGATAACATGAGAGAAGCCTCTGTGAAACAGTAACTAGATAATAATTCTCTCCTACAGTTTTCCAGCACCACTGTGTTTTCATGAGAAAGTGCTTTAGACAAAATGCCACCCACCACTGAAACCTTATAAACAGAGGTTTTGAAAATAAATAAAATCAAGTTTTGATTTGAGTTTGTTGCTTACTCAGTAGATAGAGGAAAAAAAGGGGGAGGAGATTTTTGTGGGAAAAAGGTGCTAAGAATCATCACCGCTATGAGTCTGTGGATAAACTAGCGTGTTATGCAGCAACCTGAAGGTATGAAGCATCAGAGCACAACTCTTCCATGTCATTCCACAAGTCCCACACCAAATGAGCAAAAATACGGACAAAGTCCATTTCTCCACTGTAGTAGGGAAGTGAATTTCACAATTTACACTGAGCTTTGAATTCCCTTTAGTGAACTTGAAAGAGTCAACTTAAGTGACTGAAACATGAATGCAAAGACATTTAACTCTCATCACAGTGAAAATGCTGACTGCAGTCAGCTATTACAAATAAGAACTCTAAACACCAAAAGCACATGATGGCTGTGTGCAAACTCATCACCCTGTTTCCACAGAAGTTTGTATTTTAATGACCTCTTCTCCAGATGAAGCATCTTCCTTCAGTCACCACTCTGAAAAACTGAAGTAAGCTTTCTTGTCAGACCATTACACATACATGAATGAGACCAAATAAGAAACTAGGCGAGTGCAGCAGAAAGCAGAATCTGGTATTAAAGGTCTGCAATGAATATTCAGTTATTTAAAAATACAAATCAGGAGACAAAGATCCCCAGACTTTTCACATACCTCCATACTAGATTCAGGTAACTTACCACAATCTCTCTTTCAGGATAGTATTATTTTTTTCTCAAATGAGCATTCCCCCTGAGCAAGCTCAGGAGAAATGGAGCAGGCATACACTGTGTCACAGGAACTGCACTGACACACTTCAGAATATTTTTATTCATGTACTCCTCTCTCATGTAATTAGACTAATATTATAAGAGCTCCAGTAGAGCTCTAACTTGTATCATGTTACATTTCTCATTTTTTGGGGCATAGAATATATCACATTTTCATAGAATAATCAAAACACTTCTGCCCAAATATGACTAAAGCTAATTTTGTCAGGTAATGGAATAAGGCTGAAGTTTTTCCTTTCAAAGACAGTTTGATCTGATAACAAGATTGGTTTACCACACTTATTAAAAAAAAAAAAAAAAGGGGGGGGTGTCAAGCAAGCATAATTCAAGAACAACAACAACAAAAAAATCACAGCATGTCTTGTCTCAAATTCTTTACTTTTTAATTCAGCTGCTATAAATACTCCTCCAAATGGTAAACACCCTAAGCAGCTGGCCCAGCCCCCAAGTCACACCGAGTTCTGCATTTGTATATTTACAGCTGAAAGGATTAATGCAAAGGCAGGGAAGAGCTGTACAAGTCCTGTTCTTGAAGTCTTTCAGGTGCAGATTTTGCTACATAACAGTAAGCAGCCTAAAGCTGCTGTCAGCTAGAAAGCATCTACAGAGTCCAAGAGTAGAACCTGACTGATTACAAAGAGTTGTTTCCAATTTTCTTCTCAAAAAAAGGTAACTGCAAGAACGGACGTTTGACTGTACTAGAACACGTGCTTCTAGAAACAACCATCTCTTACATGACTAAGATCAAATTAAAAAAAGATAAAGCTTTATATTTTCAGTATGTGGGCACAACATGGCTATTGGCTGCTTCGAGATAAAGCTGTCCGTATCTTTTCAGACGAAAATCAGAAACGAACATCAGCTCCTGCGCACCCCAACCAACACCCTATAGCTACAAAATCAGCTACCAACATTCCCGAGGTTAGGGAAGTCACTTTTACACCAAAAAACCCACATGTATGAGGAGAAAAAAAAAAAGAGTTAAAGAACTTCCAAGGACGTCTGTGAAGGCATACGTACGCATAGGATCGTTTTAAGAAAATCCTAAAAATAAAAACCCCTTTTCTTTTTGGAGGGGGTGGAGCTCGGGGAAGGGCCCTGGGCTTGTTCTGCACCCAGACAACAGAAAACCGGGCGCAGACCGGCGGAGACGCGCCGCAGGCCTCCAGGAGGGACCCGGCGGCCCCGCTGGCTGCGCTGCACCAAGATGGTGGCC